GCGGGGAAACCCGGAGGTAAACAAGACCGGGGGGACGCGGGGGGGCAGCGGAGCAGCCCCGGGGTGCCGGGCCGGGTGAGGGACGGGAGGGCGCGGGGCGCAGGCGGGGCTCGGCCAGGCGCAGCTTTCGCAGATGTTGCGCCCCGATAACCTTGTTTTTACGGGGGGCCGGGGGGGCCGGGTGAGCCCGAGGGGGGCGAGATTAGGGAGGTGAGCGTGACTCAGGCACCGGAGCCTCACACCCCGGGCAGCCGCAGAGAGCGCCGCAGGGGCGTCGGAGGCACCCCAGGGTAGGTGCGGGGTCACCTCGGGGTGTCCCGGGCCAGGTGGGGCTGGGAGGGCACCCGGGACTGCCCCCGGGGCTGCCCCCGGGGCTCCTGGCGCGGGAGGTGCTGCGGGATGGGGACGTGGGACCGCAGGGAGCCACCGAGGGGACCCAGCCGTGCCTGAGGACGGCCTGGGATGTGCGGGCTCCGTGCTGAGCCGTGCTGAGCCGTGCTGAGCCGTGCTGAGCCGTGCTGAGTCGTGCTGGATGGAAGGTCCCGGCCGTGCTGAGCCGTGCTGAGCCGTGCTGAGCCGTGCTGGATGGAAGGTCCCGGCCGTGCTGAGCTGTGCTGAGCTGTGCTGAGCCGTGCTGAGCCGTGCTGAGCCGTGCTGAGCTGTGCTGAGCCGTGCTGAGCCGTGCTGAGCCGTGCTGGATGGAAGGTCCCAGCCGTGCTGAGCCGTGCTGAGCCGTGCTGGACAGACGGTCCCGGCCGTGCTGCACCCATGGCCTGGGATGTACGGACTCCATAGGGAGCCACGGGGTTGTACCCACGGAGGGAAGGAGCAGCCCCACGTTGCGCGCGTGGGTTGGGATGTGCTGCTCCAGAGGGAGCCGAGGGAAGAGGCCGGAGGGACCCGGCCATGCCCCATGGAGGTGTGGGATGTGAGGGATCCACGGGGCCGTGATGGCTGCGGGGAGGATCCCGCTGATCGCGCGGGGATGGCGTGGGGCGTGCGGGCTCCGTGCTGAGCCGTGCGGGTGTTGGGGGCAAGGGGTGCGAGCCCGGTGCTGAGCGTGGCACGGGATGTACGGACCCCACGGGGCTGTGCCCACCGGGGGGGACCCCACGGGGCTGTGCCCACCGGGGGGGACCCCACGGGGCTGTGCCCACCGGGGGGGGACCCCAGCCGTGCCCCATGCCGGGGAATGTGCGGACCCCACGGGCCCCGCGCCGGCTGAGCGCCGTGGGGCTGCGGGCTCCATCCCACGCACACGCTGTGGGACGGGGACCCCGGGGGGTTCTCGGGGGGGGCCGAGCTCCATCCTGCCGTGCCCGGGGCTGCAGCGTGGGCTCGGCGCGGGGATGCGTTCGGCGGGTCCCGGTGACCTCGCTGCCCGGTGCCGCAGCGCCCCGCGGGTCCCCGGCCCCGCAGCCGGCCCGGGGCGCTGTGGGGCAGAGCGGGGGGCAGCGGGTGGAGCGGGGCAGGGGCCGACGCCCGGTGCCGGGCGTTATCAGTGGGGCACAGCCCGGCGCACCGGGCTGATGCAAGAGCCGCCGGCGGGCTGGGGGGGCCGGGGGGGCCCGGGACAGGCCGGGCTGGGGGGCCGGGGGCCGCCGGTCCCGGGGCCAGGCGGGGCAGGAAGGAGACGGCCGAGTCAGAGGCTTGCCGTCCATCCCGCGGCCCCGCCGCGGCTCCCGCGCCCCGCCGGGGATCCCGTGTGGCCCCGCCGGGGATCCCGTGGCCCCCGCGGGGTGTCCGGGACCCCACCCCGGCTTCCGCCACCCCCGGCCGGGAGCGAGCTCCTGCATCACCCTGGTGAGATCGGGGGGGGCTGGTTTCCCCCAAAGCCGCCCGTGCCCTGACCTTGCCCCTGAGCCCCGCTGTGGGGTCGCTGGGCCGGGGTGGCGGGGCCAGCCGGAGCCCCTCGGCCCCCGGGCCGTGGGGGTCCCCGGGGGGCGGCCGGGGCAGCGGCTCTGGGGGTCCCGGGCCGCGGCAGCCCTGCTGGGAGGCGCGGGGCCGGGGCGGGCGGGGGTCGCGGTGAGGAGGTTTTGGGGGGTCCCGGAGCCCCGGGTCCCTCCGGGGCTGCCCCGGGGGGGAGTGCGGGGCAGGGCGCCCCCTGGCGGACGTCCCGCGGCGCAGCCCCGGGGCAGCTGCGGGGGGGGG